GAACCCAGTTCATTTATTCTGCAGTTTCATTGGCCACCTGCCATGTGGATGACGCTGCCCTCTTGGGGAAACAAACAGCAGGGGACCAAGTGACAAAGAGCAGCCTTCTTCTAAGAGCTCATCTTTTCGAGGGCGATGGGTCAGTAAGCTCAGAGAGAGCCAGTGCTGTGGAGGAGAGGAAACAGGTGATGGATCAGGCTGGGGAGTACTACACAGCAACGAAAAAGAACCACTGCCACGGGCCCTAGCCTGGAAAATCCCACAGATGTGCTATGGAGTAAAAGCCCGACTCAACAGGGACTGTACTGTGTGATTCCATTTATCCAAAGTTCAAGAACAGGCACAACTCATCTGCGGGAATAGAGGTCAAAGTACTGGTTACTTTGGGGGAGGAGGTTGGATCGGGAGGAGCCCAGGGAGCCTGTGGGTGCTAGAACCATTGGCATTTTGATCTGGGTGCTGGTGACACAGGGGTATACTTGGGGGAAGTGCACTCAGCTTCCCGGGAGATGTGTGTCAAGGCATGTACGTTGTAGTAGTTATCTATTGCTGCATAACTAGTTGCCATGCAAGTTAGCAGCTTACAACCATCATTGTTACTATCTCACACAGTCCCTGGAGGTCAGGGCCAGACTCAGCTGGGAGGTTCTGGCTCAGTGGCTGCAACCACGTCCTGGGCAGGGGCTGGTGGGGCTGCTTCCAAGGTAGCGTATTATGTTTGGCCAGCAAGTTAGTGCTGGTTAGGGACATGCAGGCTCAATTCCTTGCCATGTGGCTCTCTCCATGGGGCCACTTGGGTGTCCTCATGACAGGTCAGCCAGCTGCCCCTGCCACTAGAGATTTAAGGGAGCAAAAAAGAAGGAAGCCGTGACCTCGTCTCCGAAGTCCCCATCACTTCCCCCGCATTCTTTCATTAGCATCAAGTCACCGGGTGCAGCCCACGCTCCAGGGGAGGGGAATGAGGCGTCGTTCTTTAAAGAGACGAACAGCAGTGCATGTGGGGGCGTATTTTATGATAGATGGGCCTGGGTTTTAGGAAGTGGTGTTCACCTTGCTTTCTGAGCTCTGAGTAGGAAAAGTCAGTTGCGTGAATGTCAGGCACAAACAGCCAGTGCAGATGCTTCGCAGCAAGAGTGAGTTGTTGGAGATTCAGAAAGAGGACCGCCATAACCAGAAGTTAATAAGCTGGGGGGGTGGGGGGGGCAGAGGGGAGGGCAGTGCTGAGGTAGGCAGGGGAGGCCATGGAGGCCACAGGAAGAAGTCTGGGTCTGATGGATGTAAAAGTGACTACAAGCCATCGGAGGGATTTTAGCCGGGAAGGGGAAGTCTTCTCGGATGAACATTGTGAACAGCACGCTGGGAGCAGGAGCAGGAATGACGGACAGGCTGAGAGGCCCTCATGGAAAGAGAGGCAGTGGTGGCTTGGTCACAGGGACAAGGAGAGAAGAGGACGAGACCCTGGCTGTGCCCCTGGGGTGTCAGGTGCTCAGACCCAGCCTCCCAGAGCTGCAACCTCAGGCAGGGTGCTCCCAGGAAGCACCCGGAAAGCAGAGGAAAAATACTCGGTTGTCTTTGCTGAAGGCAGGCAGTGAGGGCCCCTGCTGCCCGGAGGAGAACCAGCTCTGCCCATCCGTGGGCTCTGTCGTGCAGCAGGGCCCTCCCTGGGGGAGTCAGCCTCGCCCGGGCTGTCACCCATCTCGTGGAGTCTGCGTGTTCTTTTCTCCAGATGAAATGCCCTGCTTTCAAACAAGGGGAATATTAATCTTGGGGAAGCACTCGGTGCCGGAGCTGCGGGGGAGGGGGATGCTGCCCGTGAGGAGGGTGCTGCCCGTGGGCCCAGCTGGAGCAGTGCTGGGGCAGAGGCTCCCTGATGAAAGAGGACATTGGCCAGTCTTCCATCTCAGGCCATGCTCCTTCCCCTCTGGAGGGCCCATTGGTACATGGTTCTTGTTTTGGATTTTCTAGGGAGAGAAGCAACCGGTCCAAGTTTAAATGTGTCATCAGAATCCAAAGGTCTTCCACCTCTTCAGGAGGAAAGCCCTTCTGAGAGAACACGACAGAGGGGTTTGTGTGCTGCAGTTTGCACGGGGATTTCTAAGTGAGCCATTGCCCGCTCACAGATGTCTTACTCCTGGCTTCCTGTTCCTTTCCAGGAAAGGCCCGGTTTCGTTCCTTCTTGCAGAGGCAGAGCTCAGGCATGCACGTCTCCGCAGCGTGCTGTAGCTGCAGGCTTACGTGGTGCCTATTTGATTGCAAACGGGACACGTGTCTGAGGGTTTGCGCTCCTAGGTGGGGTCACGCTGACTTGGCCATCATGAGGTCACCCCCTGTGTGGGCAGCACTTCCTCGGGGTTCTCCCGGTGATTGAAGGCCTGCATCAGAGTCCTGTGTTCTGACCGGCACCGACCACGCTTCCCCTCCCAGGGCGTTCAGGGGGAGGGGAGGCTTATACCCATGACCTCAGGGCTCTTTTGCTGCTCCGACGTTGGGAATGGCTTCATACCCCATCCACTGCTGAAACGAAGTGCAGCCGGTCAGCCAGACAAGCTCAGAGGAAGTGTCTGGGCTGGCTCAGAGAGTGCTGGACAAACATCTGAGAGCCCAAAGTGACCCCTCCCACCCCCAGCCAATGACGAGGAGTCTTTGAGGTGTTTTGGTAATGATTCACACTCACGATTGGTTGCTTTCCAGTTCCCTGTGCCACGTGATCAAGCAGTAGGGGTCATGAAGAGGTGTGAGAACATGCCTTGATTGAGATACAAAGTACTGTGTATGTACTAAGTACTTTTGCCATGTGTGATGTGCAGTTTTTTGCCCGAATTTTTGAGGGAAAAGTAAGGATGCACACTGAACATGGGTATAATGACTATATACCATGGGGATAACAATCCCGTGTATAATGCGCACAAAAACGTGGGTGTGCATGATACACGGCAAAATATGGTAAGGTGTGCAGCACTGTGTTCCCGGGCACAGGCCCTAAGCTCCCAGAACCAGGCAGGCCACCGCAAACACCTGTGCGGGCTGTGCCCTGCACAAAGGCACCCAGCACAGGGCATGAACAGGACTGATCCCCAAATCAGTGCTGGTCCCCTCGATGCAGAGGTTAAGAGCACAGGCACTAGAGACAGATAGCAAATCATGCCACCGAGGTGTCATGTGACCTGGGACTAGCTTTGGGGCTTGTGACCCCATCTGTAAAATGGGGTGGTAACAGCCCCTACCTCACAGACTGATGAGAGAATTAATATATAAGAACATGCAGCAGGCTAGCTGGCATGTACTGGGTGATCAGTAAAACATTAGCTTCATTCTCTGCTGGAGGTGGAGAGTGCTACTCATTCATCCTCGTCCTCAGGAGATGGCTGTCTTCTACCCAAGACAACACTGGAGTCGGGGGGGGGGGCGGGTGGTTTATTACCTGAACACCAGCATCTGGGAAACACCAAGCTCCCCAAACCTGCTGGGTTTGTCACTTCTGTCCAGGTGAGATTAATTTCTCCCTGTGCTTCCAGCCGCTTGGAGCCTTTTTCAGAGGGAGCAGTTAAGGGCGCCCCGGTTGGCGGGTTCCCAGTGGCTGGCACAGATGTGCTCCTGGGTGGGCGAGTGCTCTGGAACGCATGGAGCTCTGTGGCGGTTGGGCTCCAAAAGGCAGTGGAGCACTCGCGGGCTGTCTGTATACGGAGGAGAGGCACTTGGGAGTTACCGTGCTCTGAGCGAGCCCCAGAGGCACAGGGCAGTGAGCAGGGGTCTCCTTGGTAGCAGGGGTCCCCTTGGTAGCAGGGGTCCGAGGGTGGCCAGCAGGGCCATACATCCAGGGCATGTCAGGTAGGATTGGGAGACTGTGGCAGGGTGACCCAGACTTCTTGCCTGTAGAAATTCTACGCACACATCTTGGCTTTCTTGAAATGCTGCCTCTTCTCCATCAATCTCGTCTTGATTCCCCCTGGCTGTATCTGAGCTTTCCCCCTTCTGAACTCCCCAGCTCCCTGCGGGGTCCACCCCTGCTCCTTGTATTATAGTTGTCTGTGGAACTGTGTGACAATATTCACTTTACCAAATTGTTTGAAAATTGAATGTAGGGCCCTGGCTGGTGTAGCTCAGTGGATTGAGCGCAGGCCGCGAACCAAAGGGTCGCCAGTTCAATTCCCAGTCAAGGCACATGCCTGGGTTGCAGGCCAGATCCCCAGTGGGGATCATGTGAGAGGCAACCACAAATTGATGTTTCTCTCTTTCTCCCTCTCTTCCCTGCTCTCTAAAAATAAATAAATTTAAAAATATATTTTAAAAAAAGAAAATTGAATGTAGGGCATGTGTAACATTTGATATACACTAGGTATTTAATAAATGGTAGATATTGTCCTTTCTCCCATTTTTGGTAGGCTGTACACTCTTTAAAAAAAATAGGAATAATCTTACTCATTTTTTTAATCCTCACTGGAGGGCATACTTTTTTATTTTAGAGAGAGGGAAAGGGAGGGAGAAAGAGAGGTACAGAGACATTGATGTGAAAGAGAAACATCCATCTGTTGCCTCCTGCACGTGCCCCAACTGGGGACCAAACCCACAACCTAGGCATGTGTCCTGAGCAGGAATCGAACCTGTGACCTTTCAATTTATGAGACACTACAGCCAACTGAGCCACACCAGCCAGGGCTTACTTTTTTTTTTTTTTGATCCCCAGTACCTGGCATAGTGCCTAGGACATAAGTAGGCACTTAGTAAATGTTTATTTGACTCAACTAAGTTACTTTTAGTCAAACAGATATTTCTCGTTTTTTATTCCCTAAAGTAACTTGAGCCAGTGTTTTGACTTCTATACTGTTCGTGAAGGAGCTGGAGGAGACACTCAACATCCGACAGGAGGGCAGAGTGCCCCCTGCAATGCAGGGCACCTTGGACATCCTCAGGTTACTGCTGCCCGGATCTGGCTGCTGCTGTGAGGACAGGCTGGCTTTGAGCATCCAGCAAATCTGGGTGTTGTTTCTGTTTTCTTCCAGATTCTTAGAATTTGCACCAGGTATACCCCAGAACAAGACACCATGACTTTCTCAGATGGCCTTACCCTAAACCGGACTCAGATGCACAATGCTGGATTTGGTCCTCTGACGGACCTTGTGTTCACCTTTGCCAACCAGCTCCTGCCTTTGGAAATGGACGACACAGAAACAGGCCTTCTCAGTGCCATCTGCTTAATCTGTGGAGGTACTGACTCCCCAGCACACCTTAGAACTGACACTTGTCACTTACGGGGAAAACTTCATCTCCATTTTGGAGTTATTATACTTGGACAAAGATATGTGACTAAAGCCAGACAGGCATGCTTGGGGTTTGTTGCAGTTTTCCATATTGTTATAAATTAAGTAAATGTATTTGGCATCCTTCTGCTCTGAAATATCAAAATGCTATTGCTCCAATTGCTACAGGTATTCTTTTTTCTTTAAGGTAGAATCCGACTCTTGTAGAATAAACTGCCTAGGGACATTTTAATGATGATCCAAGGGACGTGCACGCGTTGTTTGCTAATTTAATGGCTGGGAATACAAGTCAGTGGGTTGGCCCCCGACCAGCCCGTAGAGGACTGGGATAAAATAAGACTTTCTTCTTTGTACTGACCCCTGCCAGCTAGCAGGAGGCTGAATCGTAAGTGGTTAAAAAGTAATTGCTTTAATTTAGGGGGCCGATTTACCTGGCTTTCGTAACCATCCAGCTCAAGGTTTGTTTTAATTCAGTTCAGTAGTGACACCTCCTGGTCGTGAGAAGCAACTCTCCCTGGGACCAAAGCAACCAGCCATCTAAAAGGTTCCTTTCCGCCAACAAAGGGGACAATCATTCAAGTGTCACTGCCTAAAGCAGTTGCATAGATCTTCAAATTTGTATATGTGATTGAATCGTCAAATGAATGGAGTCATAATATAGTAGGAACAAGGAAGAGGGGAAATGGAAGAAACCCTCCAGCCTGGCAGAACTCTTTCTGTCCTGACTCTAATTGTTTAACACTTTATTTCCGGCATCTAGACCGCCAGGACCTTGAAGAACCAACAAAAGTAGATAAGCTACAAGAACCATTGCTGGAAGCACTAAAAATTTATATCAGAAAGAGACGGCCCAGCAAGCCTCACATGTTTCCAAAGATCTTAATGAAAATCACAGATCTCCGCAGCATCAGCGCCAAAGGTATGTCTCCCGAGTCTGCACTGGATTCGTGAAGTGGAACTTGCGGTCCCGACCCGGTTGCGTTGCTTTTTTTAAAACCCATGTTTTAATTCAGGATATTTGACGTTAGCTGCCATTTTTTGTTTGTTTTGTTTTAGAATTTATTTCTCATTGAAATCAAAAGGAATTAAAATAGTACCTACCCTTAAAAAAAAATCTCAAATTTTCCCTACTCACTCTTAGATTATGAGCTTGAAAATTCAGATGACTAAGGATTAGAAAACCTGTTTGTTTTCAAGAGAAGAGTCTGTGACAGGCTCTTCCATTTGCTAGTTTTACACATTTCATTCCCGCTCTCCACACATACTCTGGTTTATGTAAACTTGACCCTAGGTTTTCCCGAACATGCAGACATCAAGAAAAAAATGACTAGTACTCAGGGTGATTGTTATTGGTGAAGTTTCTCTCTCAATCAGTGCAGCCACTGCGCTCTTGTATGTAGGCAGATTTACTTCTGAGCACCTCTAAGCAAAGGAACCCTTGCCTGCCTGAGAGGTATGTTCTTTGCCTAGTGATTTTCAGTTTATGTGGCAATTTGAGCAATTACAGAAGGGCCTAGAGCCCTACCACAGCTGAGTGTTAACACAGGGTTCTTTTAGGTAGAGAAAACTCAGTAGCCATCCCTAGTACCAAATGTTGTCATTCTCCTTCCCCTTCCCCGTTAGCATACTCTGTCGCTTAGTGAGCCAAGGGACAAAATCCACATTTCCGAGTGCTTAGAAGCGCAGTAAACTTGCTGGACAGACTCTCAATCCTTGATCTCCTAAGAGGCTTCTTCAATGAGATGTTGAGTTATCCCTACCAAGGATTATAAGTAGTGGTAATCAGTGGGTACCAATGCTTGACTGTTGTAATTATGATGTCTTTAATTGTGAAACAGTGAGGCTGTTTAACTTCATATGGTCATTTCCTGTATGTAACTAGACCAGTGCTAATAGAATTTACTGTGGTTATGGAAACATTCTGTACTCTGCATTGTCCAACACAGTAGCCACTGAGCACCTGAAATGTGGCTAATGCAGTTGAAGCACTGTTCTCTTAATTGTATTTAACAAATTTAAATTTAAATAGCACATTGGATGGTGCAGTTTTGCATCAAGTTGGTAACTGCCACATTTTTATCACTCAAATCACTTCCTCCATTTGTTAGTTACTGGTATCCTTCAACTGTCTTATTTTCAAGATAGATATTCTTTCTGGTCTTTTATCAGGAACTTCTCTTTGTAAAGTATGTTAAATAAATACATACTGGTATTGTTTCCTGAAACGGAGACATGGAATTACCAAATTTAAACATGTCACCATATCGCTGCACTTTTCTATAAAAATATTTTCATGTTGTAAAATCAGGGTAGGTTCTGGGAGGCACTGGCAGCACAGTTTTCGCCCTTGTCAAAGTAGATGAAAGTTGATCCCTAGTCATTCAGCTTAACTCCTTATCCCTACCAGATTTCTATTATCTCTTTTTGAAAGGTGCGGAACGCGTAATTACCTTGAAAATGGAAATTCCTGGATCAATGCCACCTCTCATTCAGGAAATGCTGGAGAATTCTGAAGGACATGAACCCCTGACCCCAAGTTCAAGTGGGAACACAGCCGAGCACAGTCCCAGCATCTCACCCAGCTCAGTGGAAAACAGCGGTGTCAGTCAGTCTCCACTGGTGCAATAAGACACTTCCCAGCCACTTCCAACATTCCCCAGTACCTTCAGTTCCGGGATTTCAAATGCAAGAGAAAAACATTTTTACTGCTGCTTAGTTTTTGGACTGAAAATATATTAAAACTCAAGAAGGACCAAGAAGTTTTCGTATGTATCAATATATACTATACTCCTCATCTGTCTAATTTACCTAGAAATACAAACTTTTTAAATTCTCAAAGTCAGCCATTTCATGCAACCAGAAACTAGTTAAAAGCTTCTATTTTCCTCTTTGAACACTCAAGATTGCATGGCAAAGACCCAGTCAGAATAATTTACCCCTGGTTAAGTTTCTAAAGACTTTGTACATACAGAAATATGGCTCTGTTCTTTCTATACTGGATGTTTGGTGCTTTCCTTTTGTCTTGCACACTCAAAATAGCCAAGACACCGAGGTTATGACACAGACTACTGTACATGTCCAGCTACGAAATAACTGTCTTGCCTTCACAGAATAACCGAGACATCAAGGTAAGGAAATGGGACTATTGTACAGAATGACAAGATAAGGCTAAAGGTATTCTAATTTAGTTAGTATGGAAGCTTGTCCTTGCTCTTTCCGATGCTCTCAAACTGCATCTTTTATTTCATGTGGCCCAGTAAAAGTATACAAATTCACTGTACTAGCAGAAGAGAATTCTGTATCAGTGTAACTGCCAGTTCAGTTAATCAAATGTCATTGTTCAATTGTTAATGTCACTTTAAATTAAAAGTGGTTTATTACTTGTTTAATGACATAACTACACGATTTTTTAAAAAGATACATTTTTACAGTAATGATAGCCTCCAAGGCAGAAACACTTTTCAGTGTTAAGTTTTTGTTTACCTATTCACAAGCCATTAGGGAAATTTCTTGGTATAATTAACAGGCTGGTCTGCCACCTGTACCATGTGACTCTATGTCCTTCCTGACTCATGCCTGATATTGGGGTGTTTTCCGGCCTTCTTGATGCCCAGGGGCTAACACTAACCCTCAGTGGCATGGGCAGAGGATATGCATCCTTTGACCTTGTTCAATCACTATGAAGCAGAGTGAAAGCTGTGGTAGAGTGGTTAACAGATACAAGTGTCAGTTTCTTAGTTCTCATTTAAGCACTAGTGGATTTTTTTTTTTTGATATATTAGCAAGTCTGTGATGTACTTTCACTGGCTCTGTTTGTACATTGAGATTGTTTAACAATGCTTTCTATGTTCATATACTGTTTACCTTTTTCCATGGAGTCTCCTGGCAAAGAATAAAATATATTTATTTTAAAGGTGTGTGGGAGCTTTCACTACACTTTCATTTGCAGTAAAGAGACAGAGAAAACAGTTCCATTTTTAATGTTTAAAGTTCATTTCAAAAAGCAGGTCTGTAGTCTGCAATCATGACAATTAAAATCTGTGCTAATGCACGGCAGTCTATAACAATACTACAAGCCAATCAGACAGTACATGACATTTCAATGAGTAAAAAAGGGCATAAAACTGTATGTGTAAGAACAAAATGTTAAAAGGCCTACCACATTAATAAAAAACCATCAATTACATTATCACATTAAAATAAGTCAGATGTACAAAAGTCTGAGACAGAAAAGACAAAAAGACAACACAAGTTATCTGTTGAAAAATGTTTCTGTGCTCTTTGGGCACTTAATTAAACATTGCAAAATCGACATCTTCTTCATCATCAGACTCTGCAAAATATTTTACTTCTTTCCTAGCTCGACCGGTCCGTGGCAGAGAAGGTGGTTCAGAAGTGAAGTCTGGTGGGAAGATGTCCACATCTGAATCCTGATCAAAAGATGTTTTCTTCGGTTTCTAGAACATTTTTTTAAACAATAGATTTAAAACCCCAAAGTTAAGAAAAGGAAAAAACACTAGTGTTAAAAAGAATTCTCATTTCTTATACTTCATTTATATTTGGGAATTATAAATAATGATGCTTTTAAAATTAGAACTATAATGCTAACTTAAGGGTAAGACCAATTACCTAATCATTTTTATGAAAGGAAAAAGGATTAAGTATAATAATTTGCCACCTTAGTGACCTTGTAATACTTATTTCTTTCAGAATTTATATATCACTCAGCAAACAGGCAGATTAGTAAAAATTCACACCGTCTAATTTGTAAGTACCCACAAGTTCATGAGAGGAAAACAAGTCTTAGGCACAGTATGGACTGCACAGTGTGTTTATAACAACATTGCAGAGAAGAGTCACCGAGATGGACCAGAGGTGTAGGAGAAGGATGGACAGAGGAGGTCAGTGTGAAAAGCAGCACAAGACTAAAACCACCTGTGCTTGTATTTTTTAAAGTTTTAATGGACTAGACAAAGAAAAAAGGGAGGGACATTTGATGTTTTTCATTTACCTAAAAGATACTATACTTCTGGAGAAGAGTCAGACTAATTAGGAAAATCAGCCACAAATAAATTCAAGTTAAAAACAATTGCCCTGATCAAATAAAGAAATACCCTTTATTTGATCTGAAAAAAATATTTCAGACAGGTAGTATATAATTTCTACTGTTCATTAGATGGAATACTCTTAAGTAGGCTAATTTATACCACCCTTTTGTCCAAGAAATAGTCCTGATTATACAGATCTAGATTTGGATAATTCTTTAAAATTAGGATCTTTATCCTTATGGGGCGTGTATATGGTTAAAGCTATTATAAGACATTATATTGGGTTGGCCAAAATGTCCACTTAGGTTTCCCCCCCGCCATAAAATAAAAGACACATTTTTAATTTTCACCAATAACATGATTGATTTGGATATTTTGAGGATGTTGGTTGTCTCTTGCTATTGGCTTCTAGTGGGTAGAGGCCAGGGCTGTTGCTTAACACCTTCCAATACATAAGACAGCTCCACAGCAAAAAGTATTTGACCAAAATGTCAATAGTACCAAGAAAGTTCCCAAACCCCCTTGACACATTTGATCAGCCTCAGCACCTTCTCCACACACTATTCAGATCTTTTTACCTTTCTTAAAATAAAGCATAATATGCTGAAAATGTTGCTTATTTTCTTCAATATTAATTTTGACAAGTTTTTTTAAATGCACACTGATATGACAGCTGTCACAATACAATCTATTTGAATGAAGTTAAAGACAACAAAGCACTACTAGAGACATCCTACGGGGGAAAAAATGAATGAACTTTTTGGCCAACCAACAGTAATAAGCAAATAAACCAGTTACAGATCATCTTAAACAAAACTGTGCATCACAAAGACGCTCCTGCCTACCTTGCTTGGTGGTTTGGACGTTTTCCTGCCCGGGTTATAGTCACCTTCATTTTCAGAGCCAGATGCTTTCCTTTTCCTTGCCCCTCGACCTTTACCTTAAAATGGTAACAAAAGAGAGGTTTTTTTTCTCCCAAGGTTAAGTGCAATATAAAAAGATAAAAACATTACTTCTTTGGCACGCCCTGATCTCTTAGATGTAGAAACAATTTGGCAGTGCCATGTCAGTTCTGGAGTTAATGTGACTAGAGCGTATTTCACAAATGTAAACTAATTGGAGGGTCCTCGTGACAAATTTTAATGACCAAACCCCTACTGACCGCATAAAAGAAAATATTTGCATTTTGCACATATTGCCCTTGGACCTGAAAAAATCCCTTAGAAGAGTGCTTTTTAAATGTTATGTAATGGAAACAAATTTAGTTTCTAATTTGTCACAGACCAATCATTTTAAACATATAAATTACTAGAAAAGTAATATATACACTCTTAACACAAATTATAAAGGTTTAAATCCTTACTCTAAATTTTACTTCTCTCATCACACACTAGTAACAACCAACCGCAGACCCCACTGGAAGTAGCAGTATCTTAGAATAAAGCCCCCAGTGTTAAACAGGAAATAACTGTCAAACCTGTATTCCCTATGCAGCCTATGCATCTACCTGACTTCTTATTCTCATCACTGGAGGAGGAAGGGGAAAAGGTAGTATTTAAATGTTCTCCATTACACAGTGATTCCAGTGAGTGAAAGGAAATGGAACTAAATTGCAATTCTAAATTTTGAAAAATTCCTTAAGAGCTATGACCTACTAGATTATACTAGTAAGAAAAGACATCCCAGATGACCTTGGGATATCATATTTGATCAAATAAATCAACAAAATGGCACTTGTGTATTTATAGAGGTTTCAAACCATGCCCACCAGAAGCACTGACCTCCCCAATCACTAGGACTCTTTCTGCCCTGCTATTCTCCCTTGTTTCCCAGTGGGTCCGTAATTCCTTATCCTAATCTCCACTTTAAGAAATGAAATAAACACAGTGACAATATCTGTCAGCTGAATAAAAGGCTGAACAGCTACCCTTAGAGAAAGTCATGTCTTACATATTTTTTAAAGTGTCTGTAAGTACCTTCTAGACTCTGAAGGCAAGGAGGGGACATCAAAGGGAAGAATAAGTGCTGGTGCCCCCATGAGGCCCTGAGCACAGCCATTACATTTCCAAGGTCAGCTAAACCTCTGGTTGAGGATCCTTGAGCCCCAGCCTGCTCCAGTGGGTGCCACATTCTCACCTACCTCCTCAGTAAGTACTTCAGGTGAGTGCCTCCCCCACTCCACCACCCCGCTCCCCACCCAGCGTGGAGGTCCTAGAACCACTCCTATTTATGCAAATTGCTTACTTATCTTTTTCTCAATTTCTTGATTTATAAAACAAAGTGACTAGGTTAAATTGCTATACTTCCCTTTGGATTAATTCAGTACTGATTCTTAGATACATGGTTTACTGAGGAGTAAAGTAATTTAAAATAGAATAGGTACCCAGTCTCTCTAAATTCAATGAGTAAGAGACTTAAGTATTTCCCACATGGCACGTTTGGGGTTATACAAAGATAATCCTCACCTTTTGGTGTTGTAGTCTTCTTTGGAATGCCAAATTCTGAATCCGAGTCAGAGTTGATAGTCTCTATCTTCTTCTGTTTGGGGGTTCTCTTGGGCTTAGGGGTTGTATCTGAAGATGGTTTTCCTATTAAGCAAATTTCCATTGCTTAGATCAATGTAATATACTTACCAACAAACCAAGCTGAAGTCAATCCTAATAGAATTCCCTACAGATGATATGAAACTGAGTAGCATTAATAACATACTTTCTCTCCACCTAGTGCCAATGTAAAGGCAAACAATTTCTCACAGATGATAAAATGCTTTTTATTTAATTATGCATAATTTGCCTATTGACAATTCAAGTGAGATATTTTGAATAGGGGACATTAAAATGAATTAACCAGTAACTTAAAAAGCGTAAAAATATAGTATAGTCAAGACAAAAAACATATATAACATATTAATTATAACCCAAATACAACCACACATTAAGTTCTAACTTTTAAAATATTTTAGAGAAATAACACCATTTTTATGGGGCCCTCAAATACAAAGAATAGAATTCAATTTGCTTTCATTAAGTTGATATTCAGATGACACTTTTATGTAGAAAGAAGTATGAAAATTCTAGAAAGAGAGCAATAGACCCAAAGACCTGGTTTTGATGAATTTGGTTTTTAAAAATAGGTATTGTATTTCAGCTTCCTTTGAAGTCTATGTTAAAACTGATTATCACTAATCATTTGTGTGATTAGTAAAACCTAACTTAAAAATTACTGAATTAACCACAGGTTTTTCTATTTAAAAAAAAAAGACCCACACTAAGTCTATGGGAATATACCCCCAGTCCCTTAAGCTAGAGCTAAGGCCCCTGATTAGAGCAACAGGAGGAGCCCACAGCTCTTATAGCTGTGGCAGCCACAGATACTGTGGCTTCTCCCCAAGTCCTCCAGCTGAAATCCACCACAAGGGCCTCAGCAATGCAGCTCCTAGCAGAAGTATTAGCAGGGTGTTCTAGGGACCACTTTTTCCTTTGGAAGAGTTTCCAGGCTTGCAGTGTTAGGTGGCGCTTTCAGCTCTGCTGGGCAAGCATTAGGTCAGATATCCGAGTACTGTGAGCACTCTTTTTGCTGTAAACTTATTAGAGCTACAGAATTTAACTTGTATAATAATTTATGTAATTTGGAGTTAACATACATGATCCCTCAGAAGGACATGATGCATCCTCTCCTTGAAATGGTGTTTTGTGGGAACTGTACTTCTGGAGGAAGGGTGAGGGGCTTGCTGGGGTCCCTGGAATGATGCCACACAGGTGTCACCCAGTCAACTGACACAAGGCTAGTTCAGCAACTGGTGATAACAACCAAATAGGACAGTGGGACAACTATCCTTTCTTTTTCATCCTTACCCAAGGATATATTGGTTTTAGAGAGAGAGGAAAGGAGACAAGGAGAGAGAGAAACATTGATCGGTTGCCTCCTGTATGTGCCCAAACTGAGGATCAAACCCTCAACCTAGGTATGTGCCCTCACCGGGGACTGAAACTCACAACCTGGATCAAACCTGCAGCCTTTTAGTGTATGGGATGACACTCCAACCAACTGAGCTACCCAGCCAGGGTTATACTCTCCTTTTAGTTAATGCTAAACCGACTCTTTAAGTTAAATAGGAGTGAATAGCTTGAAGAAGGAAATGCTGAAAGAACTAATAAGGCTGTCAAGTAATTGG